CTGGGAGGAGGTTTTTTTTTTTTTTTTGCCCAGTGTCAAATGACCTTCAGAAACCTGGAACATTTCTCCAGCTTTCCCTACAGTCCCTGTCGCTGTGCCCCTCCAACCCCCCAACCTCCCCTATCCTCCACCCCAGGCACGCCTGCCTGCCAGGGGTAAATACTGTCGCTAGCTCCTCTAGTAAGCCAGCTCCTCCCCTCCATGACTCAGGCTACTCTTGCAACCTCCAAACCAGGTGGTCACACCTTGTCCTTTACCTGTGAACCTCCCTCTGCCTGGGTTTGCTCGTTTGTGTGGTGGGGGATAGTGACTGCTCCTAAATGATATATATGGCAGGTGTTCATTTGTGGCAGGGAGACCCAGAGGGGTTCCCAGGGCTTTCTTGGAGGTCTGTTTTCATAAGGATGCTAAGATGTTATTGTACCCTTTTAATTCACATTATTTCAGGACTCTAGCGAAGTTTACTTGAGCCCAAGTGATCTGAAATATTAATAACACAACAAATCAATTGCAGTAGTTGACAGGGGAGTCCAGCTGTCTTCTTTTGAGCCCGATTAGAAGGATTTGGCAAACTCTAATAAGTCGTTGCTCTTTTCATTCATTCATTTTCATTCCTCTTCCCTCACCCCCTCTTTATTATTTTTAATTGAATTAGTAAATATATGAAAAAGAATCTGTTTTTTTTTCTCTGCTCTGTTTTCTAATGCAGTAACTATCAGTGGATATAACCTATAGAAACAAAAAGATCTTTGGTGTTCTCATTGTCATGGGGACGCCCCAGGACCATAAACAAGCACACACACAAGAGCTTTAAGAAGCCCCACCCTTTTAGGGAGGATGAGGATGAGATAGATCTGTGAAGAGCTGGGGAAGGAGATTTAATGTGATCACAGGTACATTGTATAAAATCGTCAAAAAATTAATTTTTCAAAAGTTTTGTTTGACTACACTAAGTCCTTGTAAAAATCCTCTCTTTTTAAAAATTAAACCTTTTCTTGTTATTTGACCTAATTATAGGAATAAAACCTATATTGTTTACAGTCCCATGTACAGGATGTATATGTCAAAAGGTGGGAGTCCAAAGAGCCATCTTAGATTTCTACCCATAACAGAAATAAGATAGTGAGGATTGGACTTTTTACAAGTGTTTGGGGTCTTTGGCTCACTTGCTTTGAAAAAGTGATTCATAAGTATAGAAAGGAATCATAAGGATAAAGCAATGTTTATGAGAGCATTAACTACTTGAACAGTCTGTTTCTTTTTTTCAAATTGTCCTACTTTACTGTTTTAAGAAATCTTCATAAAATGGTTATTAAATGCCATTGTGAATTTTAACATTTAGCAAATGATCCTGTAGAGTGGAATGTATTGAGACAAGCCATTTCTATTGCAAGTTTGACACACTAAGTCTCCTTTATTTTACAGTAAGTTGTCATCTCTCATAAATGGTAGTTAATCTTATTAAGCCTGCTTATGTTGTTACTTTAGGCTGCATTATGGTTCTAATATTTCTTAATTGCTGTGTTATTGTTTGTCTGTATTGAGCAATAGTAATTGTGTTTAGCTTATTACTTTCTATCTCGATGTTTCTTCTGTGTCATAGTTTTGCGCAGTTCACCTCTCCTGCTCTGCTGTCAGGAGCAAGAGAAGTGACTGTGGTATTGCTCACCAGCCCCAGTGTTCAGCCAGCCAGGGACAGCTTTCCTCATTCCTAGATCCTATCTCTTGCCACCTCCTTTAGAAGATACTTTCCCAAGTGGGCCATTCCATGCTGGGCTTCATGTCACGTGTGCAGGGGCTGACTAGGGTCTGTTTGCATCTTGATCAAGCTGTTTGGCTCAACTGTACCTTCATTTTTGCCTTTGTGTTAGAAATCCCAACTTGGAGAACAATGCTAAGCCAATTGTGCTTAGGAACAGCCCCAACTCCTCCTCTGTGTTTTAAAAATATTAATAGGAACTTACAAGCTTGCTAATGAAGGAGGATTTTTGGTAGTTGTTGCCTTAGTTTTCCTCATAATAGCATGGGGACAGCTAGAGGGATAGTTGAGAGGCTTTGGGAACACCTTTAGTAAAAAATGCAAGTGGGCCTTGATTATGAAGTCATTCTAAAGAGTTGCTCTAACTCTGAAAGCCACCAAAGAACATCATAGAGGAATCATCCCCATTGAAGAAATCCAAAAGGAGGTCCCTTTGGAAATGTGAATAATTCTATCATAAACTCAGTTCTTGCAATGTGTGATACAGTATGGAGTGAGATAGATTTGTATTAACCAGTTCAGAGGGGTTTTTGTGTTTGTAATTTCTTTTCAATTTTTTTTTTTAAGGTGAGGTTTCACTATTTGATTTTGAGTAGCTTGGAACTTAGTATGTTTACTGCAGGGCTGTTTTCATATTTGCAGTGATCCTCCTGCCTCTGAGGATTCCAGGTTTGTGCCACAACGCCCAACTTGTGTTTGATTTTAAATACAAGAGAGAACTTGCCAACTGAATTGTGATGC